CACGTCTATCTCCGCTGTTCTAACTAATGTGCCACAAATCCACGGTCTATGGGCAGTTTCAATATGGCCACGGGGGCTGGAAAATGTGAAAAAACACATCTGCGCATGCGTCAGCTGCACAAGCTCCATTCATTTAAACGAGTGACTTCAAAAATTCACAGCGACTAAACTAGACTGGTCCAGAACACCCCCTCAGCATTGACACACATGTGGACCGGAGTTCTGTTATATGTGGACAGAACTGATTTTCTTTTCAAATGTAGATGGTGCAGCTTATATACAGGTGCGCCTTATAGACAACAATGTACGCCATGGTTTTTAAAACAGTTTTCAACATATTCTACTTCTAGCCGACATCTCTCCTTTAGGTATGTTTTTTTTTCTGTTATGTCTGTATCTTTTTTAGAGTCATAAAAACTCCCCATCATAACATCATGTTGTGACGAGTCAAAACGGACGTCTCTCTGCTACATTACAACATGAGGCTTATATTCAGGTGCGACTTATATGTGGACAGAACTGATTTTCTTTTCAAATGTAGTTGGTGCGGCTTATATACATTATACATGCGCCTTATAGTCCAGAAAGTACAGTGTGTGTTTTCAAAATAGTTTTCTACACATTCAACTTGCAAAAAACTCTCTCTCTAAACATCTCTCCACAGAGTATGATTATATTTGTGTTTTGTCTTGTTAAGTGTCAGTAAATGTCTTCTCTTTTATATCCACTTGGTTTGGGCCTAAAGTGCATAAAGCAACGATTATACTTTCATGAAAACAATTGGTCTATTTGAATGAGGTTTTGTTTGTGCCTGAAGTTGGAGCTAACACAATTCCGGGTCTGTGTCTCATTTGGGAACCACGATATTTAAATACAGGAAGAAAACTTGATCCATGAAGTGTTTTTAGAAGCAGGAGAACTTTACAAAGCGGAAAACTGCAAAAAATCCAGAATTGTGGCTTTATTTTCTCATTCCAAGGGAGACATTTCTTGTGCATTTTTAAAACAAGATCATTTTGCTTTTGTCCCGTTGGATCTTGCACACGTTACTTGGCATTTTGCTCAAACTCATATTTAATTATAACGTGTATATATGTACAGTGTGTGAGATTTTCCCTTTTTAAAGCTGGACTACTTTGAAACCACAAAAAAATAAATCAAATGTTGTTGGAATTTTTTGATCACATTTATCTAGTTTTAAGGAAGACAAACTGCACTATTATCAAGCAAACTATGGGTTGACTAGTATAGTATCTGTGTGGCGTTTTCTTTGTGTCTGTACAGATCTAATGTAATTATTAAACAAAAAACAGCTTTAGGCTCATTTCACAATAACTGTGTATGTCTATTAATATGCACTGGTTAATGATTGAAAAAATATATATTCCTGCCTCATATATGATCACTTTTTGCAGAGTGTCAGGGATGAACCAGACAGAGACGGATCGTGGTGCGCCAAACTCTGGAAGTTTATTTAAGTTTCTCTCAAGTTCCAGTGGTTTCCTTTGTCTTTTTCTCTCAGACAGAATGGAGTCAGTACACAGTTTATATAGTCATTGTCACGTCACACATGGAAAGACGTACGTGTCACACAGAGACAGTCACATCCTAGTCATAACATGGAGTCCTTGTAGAGTCCTGCACGTAGGCCATATTGCTATCTAATACTAACAAGAGAACTTGGGTTGAGGGCCGGACCAGAGAGCTTAGGGGGCCGGATTTCACCCCCGGGCCACGAGTTGAAAAGTCTTGGTATTAGGGATTGACAGAACAAACCCATATCTCCATCAAAACTGCTCAAAGCTGAAGCGAGGCCTCTCTCTCCTCCACATATGGCTCTGACAGAGACGTTTTTATGCCACATTAAAATTCTTAAACGTGGAGCTGTCCTCAATGACGCAAGAGCACATTCTCCAAAGTGACCCTCGCCGCTCTGTGGAGTCCGCCTTGGTCCGGGCTCGCTGCCGTCAGGAGACACGGCCCATAAAAGAGCATGAGCATGTATTGAATGTCTGTTTTAGCAGCTAGCGTTACATAAGAGCTATCCTGGAGGGATCCCATGACAGCTGTAGTAGATTTTCTTGCTGAGCTCGGTCGTATAAGGTTACAGCCAACACCGAAGCCAATTACGACAGTGACGTACGCTTCACGGCCGCTCGGATTCAGACCCACACTCAGCTTGTTTGCATTTGCAGTAAAAACACAGTGGATTATAGTGGTGGGAATTGGGAAAAATGTGAGGATTTGATAGTGTCGTGATATTTGGACCACGATTCAATATTATCGCGATTCTTAAAATATCGCGATACAGACAGAATGTGTTTTGATTCTGTGATATATTGTGATTCATGTTTATTATGGTCTGGACATGAACTGAAGAGTCACAACAAGCAGACGTCATAGAGTCACAACGAGCAGACGTCATAGAGTCACAACGAGCAGACGTCATAGAGTCACAACAAGCAGACGTCGTAGAGTCACAACAAGCAGACGTCATAGAGTCACAACAAGCAGACGTCGTAGAGTCACAACAAGCAGACGTCGTAGAGTCACAACAAGCAGACGTCGTAGAGTCACAACAAGCAGACGTCATAGAGTCACAACAGACATCATAGAGTCACAACAAGCAGACGACATAGAGTCACAACAAGCAGACGTCATAGAGTCACAACAAGCAGACGTCATAGAGTCACAACAAGCAGACGTCGTAGAGTCACAACAAGCAGACGTCATAGAGTCACAACAAGCAGATGTCATAGAGTCACAACAAGCAGACGTCATAGAGTCACAACAAGCAGACGTCATAGAGTCACAACAGACATCATAGAGTCACAACAAGCAGACGACATAGAGTCACAACAAGCAGACGTCATAGAGTCACAACAAGCAGACGTCATAGAGTCACAACAAGCAGACGTTGTAGAGTCACAACAAGCAGACGTCATAGAGTCACAACAAGCAGACGTCATAGAGTCACAACAAGCAGACGTCATAGAGTCACAACAAGCAGACGTCATAGAGTCACAACAAGCAGACGTCATAGAGTCACAACAAGCAGATGTCATAGAGTCACAACAAGCAGACGACATAGAGTCACAACAAGCAGACGTCGTAGAGTCACAACAAGCAGACGTCATAGAGTCACAACAAGCAGACGACATAGAGTCACAACAAGCAGACGTCATAGAGTCACAACAAGCAGACGTCATAGAGTCACAACAAGCAGATGTCATAGAGTCACAACAAGCAGACGACATAGAGTCACAACAAGCAGACGTCATAGAGTCACAACAAGCAGACGTCAGAGTCACAACAGACATCATAGAGTCACAACAAGCAGACGTCATAGAGTCACAACAAGCAGACGTCATAGAGTCACAACAAGCAGACACCATAGAGTCACAATAAGCAGACGTCATAGAGTCACAACAAGCAGACGTCATAGAGTCACAACAAGCAGACGTCATAGAGTCACAACAAGCAGACGTCATAGAGTCACAACAAGCAGACGTCAGAGTCACAACAGACATCATAGAGTCACAACAAGCAGATGTCATAGAGTCACAACAAGCAGACGTCGTAGAGTCACAACAAGCAGACGTCCTAGAGTCACAACAAGCAGACGTCATAGAGTCACAACAAGCAGACGTCATAGAGTCACAACAAGCAGACGTCATAGAGTCACAACAAGCAGACGTCATAGAGTCACAACAGACATCATAGAGTCACAACAGACATCATAGAGTCACAACAAGCAGACGTCATAGAGTCACAACAAGCAGACATCATAGAGTCACAACAAACAGACATCATAGAGTAGAGGAAACTCAGAGAAAACACAAACGTGAAACAGAAAATCTATTATAATTCTTTGTACTTTGCTCTACTGTATCGATTTAATATCAGGCTCAAAATATCGCGATACTGAACAGAATCAATATTTTCCCCACCACTATTTGAAATACATTTGCAAAAGTCCCCAGTGTGCATCAGAAAAGTATCAACAAAACAAGTTTTAAAAAAGTACCGGAATACAAACACTCAGATTCCCCTTCGCCGTTATTTATGTATTAGTCTAGTTAGCGTTAGCATTTGTCAAAACACTTGATTCTGAAGCCTAAATTCAGCGTTTAGTGTTTTCATTCCTTTTAACTTTGAGTGTGTGTATTTGGGGATAGTTGCCGAGATGGCCGACTCCCACACGGCCCACACGTGACCAAACGAACCTAAATTATGAACATTAAAAAATATATGGGAACAAATGGATAAATGACATTACCCCGACTATCGCTGACTTTCTGTGACTTCTTCCCTGTTTGTGACCACATTATAGTTTAGCTTTACCTCATGAACACGACTCCAGCTTTTATTTTAATTTACTTTTCTTTTCTTTTACTATTTTGGATGACTTTTATATGCGCATAATTTGTTGACAAATGGTGGCATAAGCCCATCACTGGAAAGATTTAGATATACTGTATTATGGGGAAATATACTGTATTATGGGGAAATATACTGTATTATGGGGAAATATACTGTATTATGCTGAAATATACTGTATTATGCTGAAATATACTGTATTATGCGGATATATACTGTATTATGGGGAAATATACTGTATTATGGGGAAATATACTGTATTAGGGGCAAGACTTTCTCCACCGACTCCCACTGCTGTCAGCTGTCGTTGTGTCCTTGGGCAACACACTTCACCCCACTTTGCCTGTAAGGAGCGCAGAAGTAACAGCACGCTACATGCCTTGATTTGACATGTGTTTATGACTATTCATCGAACCGAACTTCTCCTTTGTGAGATCATAAAGTACATCTTCTTCTTCTTCTTATGATGAAAACTGTGTCTTTGTTATTGCCAAATAAAATATGAATAAAAAAATAACAATAATAAGCACTTGATTCTGGTTTGTTTTGCTTGTTTTGCTAAATGACTGCGAGATGGTCGAGAGATCAGAAGTGCCGGGGCTTCCACCACAGTTGTTGTTATGAAAGAGAAGGAGCAGCGCCTCATGACGGTCACACAGCGGAGAGAGAGAGCGGCGCCTCCTCATCCACAGGAGAGGATACACAGCGGAGAGAGAAAGAGAGCGGCGCCTCCTCATCCACAGGAGAGGATACACAGCGGAGAGAGAGAGCGGCTCCTCCTCATCCACAGGAGAGGATACACAGCGGAGAGAGAAAGAGAGCGGCGCCTCCTCATCCACAGGAGAGGATACACAGCGGAGAGAGAGAGCACCACCTCCTCATCCACAGGAGAGGATACACAGCGGAGAGAGAGAGCACCACCTCCTCATCCACAGGAGAGGATACACAGCGGAGAGAGAGAGCACCACCTCCTCATCCACAGGAGAGGATACACAGCGGAGAGAGAAAGAGAGCGGCGCCTCCTCATCCACAGGAGAGGATACACAGCGGAGAGAGAGAGCACCACCTCCTCATCCACAGGAGAGGATACACAGCGGAGAGAGAGAGCACCGCCTCCTCATCCACAGGAGAGGACACACAGCAGAGAGAGAGAGCACCACCTCCTCATCCACAGGAGAGGATACACAGCAGAGAGAGAGCACCACCTCCTCATCCACAGGAGAGGACACACAGCGGAGAGAGAGAGCACCACCTCCTCATCCACAGGAGAGGATACACAGCGGAGAGAGAGAGCACCACCTCCTCATCCACAGGAGAGGACACACAGCGGAGAGAGAGAGCGGCGCCTCCTCATCCACAGGAGAGGATACACAGCGGAGAGAGAGAGCACCACCTCCTCATCCACAGGAGAGGATACACAGCGGAGAGAGAGAGCGGCGCCTCCTCAACCACAGGAGAGGATACACAGCGGAGAGAGAAAGAGAGCACCACCTCCTCATCCACAGGAGAGGATACACAGCGGAGAGAGAGAGCACCACCTCCTCAACCACAGGAGAGGACACACAGCGGAGAGAGAGAGCACCACCTCCTCATCCACAGGAGAGGATACACAGCGGAGAGAGAGAGCACCACCTCCTCATCCACAGGAGAGGATACACAGCGGAGAGAGAGAGCACCATCTCCTCATCCACAGGAGAGGATACACAGCAGAGAGAGAGCACCACCTCCTCATCCACAGGAGAGGATACACAGCGGAGAGAGAGAGCACCACCTCCTCATCCACAGGAGAGGACACACAGCGGAGAGAGAGAGCACCGCCTCCTCATCCACAGGAGAGGATACACAGCAGAGAGAGAGAGAGCACCACCTCCTCATCCACAGGAGAGGACACACAGCGGAGAGAGAGAGCACCGCCTCCTCATCCACAGGAGAGGATACACAGCAGAGAGAGAGAGAGCACCACCTCCTCATCCACAGGAGAGGATACACAGCAGAGAGAGAGAGAGCACCACCTTTCATTTAACACATGAAGGAGAAGGAGGGACTGTTTGGGTTTCCATTTACAGCAGATTTGTTGGAAAAGGTGATATGACAATTTGAGATTATTTTTGGTTAGAATATGAACCAACTCTGAGGAGCACAGGGACTGGCCTCCTGCTGGGACTCTGAGGAGCACAGGGACTGGCCTCCTGCTGGGACTCTGAGGACCACAGGGACTGGCCTCCTGCTGGGTCTCTGAGGAGCACAGGGACTGGCCTCCTGCTGGGACTCTGAGGAGCACAGGGACTGGCCTCCTGCTGGGACTCTGAGGAGCACAGGGACTGGCCTCCTGCTGGGACTCTGAGGAGCACAGGGACTGGCCTCCTGCTGGTGCCAGAGTCAGGCCTAAACATGGGGAGGCAGCGTTTCAGATTCATGCTGAAATCTGGAACAGTCTTCCTGAAAATGTGAGACAGGCTTCTTCTCTGATACTGTTCAAACCCAGGTTAAAAACTCTTCTGTTTCTGCACAATATCATTTCCCACTTACATCACTGTTTCTTTGAATTCATCATAACAATAAAACAATGTAAATGAAACCATGTATGATATTGTAGTGAGTCAAACAGGAGGGACAGGCCAGACCGACTGTACATGCTTCTAATGACAGGGGGAACCTACGCAGGCACAGGGAGAACATGCAAACTCCACACAGAAAGGTCTGGAGGTAGAATCGAACCCAGAATGTCTGTCTCTCGGTCTCTCTCTCTTTGTCTGTCTGTCTTTCTATCTCTCTCTGTCTTTCTCTTTCTCTCTCTCTATCTTTCTTTGTCTCTGTCTCTCTCTATCTTTGTCACTGTCTCTCTTTCTCTCTCTCTAGCTTTGTCTCTGTCTCTATCTCTCTGTCTCTCTCTCTTACTCTGTCTCTCTCTCTCTTACTCTTACTCTGTCCCTCTCTCTTTGTCTCTCTCTCTTCTGTCTCTTCTGTCTCTCTCTCCTGTCTCTCTCTCAGTCTCTCTCTTCTGTCTCTCTCTCTCTCTCTGTCCCTCTCTCTTTGTCTCTCTCTCTTCTGTCTCTCTCTCTTTGTCTCTCTCTCTTCTGTCTCTGTCTCTCTCTCTCTGTCTCTCTCTTTTGTCTCTCTCTGTGTGTGAGGCACCAGTGCTAACCACTCTGCCACCATACTGTATCTTGGCCACTCTATCTTAATTCTCTTCTGCCTCTCCCCCAGAATCTACCTTTCCGTCGCATTCTCCAACATCCTGTGATCCGATGCATTTGTGAATAATTAAAAACATAGATGCGGTTTCAACCAATTAAAGTAATGAGCACTTTAGCAGGGCCAGGATGTCAAGCCACAGACTACACTTGGACGACTGCGGTGAGCAGCAAAACAAACGAGCTCCAGTAAGTTATATCCTCAGTGTGGATTTCAGCGAGTAACACATCTGACACAGCGGCGATAACCACCCACACCGAGACTGCAGGACATGGGGAGGGTCAAAAACACACCGAAAATATACCATTCAGAAAGGACTGGAGAGAGAGAGAGAGAGGGAGAGAGAGAGACTGAGAGAGAGAGAGAGAGAGGGGGGGGGGGAGAGACTGAGAGAGAGAGAGAGAGAGGGGGGGGGGGAGAGACTGAGAGAGAGAGAGAGAGAGAGGGAGAGAGACTGAGAGAGAGAGAGAGAGAGAGAGAGGGAGAGAGGGAGACTGAGAGAGAGAGAGAGGGGGGGGGAGACTAAGATAGAGGGAGAGAGAGACTGAGAGAGAGACTGAGAGAGAGGGAGAGAGAGACTAAGACAGAGAGAGAGACTGAGAGAGAGAGAGAGACTGGGAGAGAGACTGAGAGAGAGGGAGAGAGACTAAGACAGAGAGAGAGACTGAGAGAGAGAGAGAGACTGGGAGAGAGACTGAGAGAGAGGGAGAGAGCGAGAGACTGAGAGAGAGACTTAGAGAGAGGGAGAGAGAGACTAAGAGAGAGAGACTGAGAAAGAGACTGAGAGAGAGAGGGAGAGAGAGACTAGGAGAGAGAGAGACTGAGAGAGAGAGAGACTGAGAGAGAGAGACTGAGAGAGGGAGAGAGAGACTAAGAGAGAGAGACTGAGAGAGAGGGAGAGAGAGACAAAGAGAGAGAGACTGAGAGAGAGGGAGAGAGTGACAAAGAGGGAGAGACTGAGAGAGAGAGAGAGAGGGGGGGGAGAGAGAGACTAAGATAGAGGGAGAGAGAGACTGAGAGAGAGGGAGAGAGAGACTAAGACAGAGAGAGAGACTGAGAGAGAGGGAGAGAGAAACTAAGAGAGAGAGAGAGACTGGGAGAGAGACTGAGAGAGAGGGAGAGAGAGACTAAGAGAGAGAGAGAGACTGAGAGAGAGACTAAGAGAGAGGGAGAGAGAGACTAAGAGAGAGAGACTGAGAAAGAGACTGAGAGAGAGGGAGAGAGAGACTAGGAGAGAGAGAGAGACTGAGAGAGAGACTAAGAGAGAGAGAGAGAGACTGAGAGAGAGGGAGAGAGAGACTAAGAGAGAGACTGAGAGAGAGACTGAGAGAGAGAGACTGAGAAAGAGACTGAGAGAGAGGGAGAGAGAGACTAGGAGAGAGAGAGAGACTGAGAGAGAGACTAAGAGAGAGAGAGAGAGACTGAGAGAGAGGGAGAGAGAGACTAAGAGAGAGACTGAGAGAGAGACTGAGAGAGAGGGAGAGAGAGACTAAGAGAGAGAGAGAGAGACAGAGACAGGGAGAGAGAAGGGGGCAGAGAGAGACAGAGAGAAAGAGAGAGACAGAGACAGAGGGAGAGACAGAGAGAAAGGGACAGAGAGAGAGAGAGAAAGAGACAGAGGGAGAGATACAGGGAGGGAGAGAGAGAGACAGAGAGAAGGTGACAGAGAGAGACAGAGAGAAAGAGACAGAGACAGAGAGAGAGAGAGAGATATGGAGACAGAAGCAAGATAGAGAAAGACAGAGAGAGACAGAGAAGACAGAGAGGGGGAGAGAGAGACAGAGACAAAGAAGAGAGACAGCGAGAGAGAAACAAAGATAGAGAAATGACAGTTGTCTTCATGTGCCCAGAGCTCAGAGAAAGTGATGGGGGTGAGGTCAGAGAGTGTTTGGGCCTGTGTCTCCTCCATGTATCTGAGGGTTTAGTGAGAGTCGCCTTTATCTGACAATCCAAGTCATTTCTACCAAGTTAAATAATTCTATTCACTGTAAAACACATTCACAAAAGTCTGCAGAGATGGAGCCACCTACAAAAGACAATCCCAATACTTTCTTTTTGGAGGGGACTGGATTCATAGGTTTTTGCTTCATCCAATCCCTTTTCAAACCAAAGCAAGGGACATTGAGACCAGGGAGAAATGAGTGATTACTTGTGAGTTAACTATGACAGTATGGCCATTAATCACCATCAAATATTTCAATCATGTGACATAATAATACTGTATATATAAACAAATACCACAATGTCCATCCGTCCATTTTCATTTGCCTCTTCCGTTGCCAGGTCACAGAAGAAGCAGTCGGAGCAGAAGCCAAATATATTCCTTACTCATACAACAATTATTAAATCAGTCTGTAAAGAAATGGGGGGGGGGGGGGGGAAGGGGGTCAGAGAGTGTTTTGGGCCTGTGTCTAGTCCATGTATGTGTTAGTTTTGTGTTGTATGGAGCGATGGAGAGGCTTGGAGCTATAGCAAATTAGCAAATTAGCGATAACTTTGACCAAGCTGTTTTGAATCTTCTTTGTTGTACCTACGTTTGCATTGATAATGACTACAAACTTCGACTGTTTTAATCTAAAAACATTGTCCTAGTGCGTGTCTCGGCTTAGCCACAGCTGCTTGTACTATGTGACAAATCATAAAGAACAAGCGGCAATATCCATGACAGCATTCTTGGTTCTGCTCCATTTACATCCAGCCAACACTGCGACAATCCCACCATCAGCAAAGTTTCTTATAACATCACATTCTGTCTAAATACTCTCAAGACAAGAAGCAGACTCCACCTCGAGCGCAACACTTCGGAAACGTCCTGTCTCATCGATTACCCAAACTCAGCCCTAACTCAGCAGAGAACTGTCAAACACCGGACACACTCACTTCCCCGTGGCTTCCAAACAACGACGCAAATTTATCTTTTTCTGTCAATTACTCACCCGATACACGAGTGCCGGCGGGTTGAGAAGTTCGCAGGTGACTTCCGGGAAAACCTGGAATCTTTGTTCATCATTTTGCCTTGGAGACTTTCTGTTTTGAGAAGTTATGGAAGCATCAGAGGACCTGTTGGAGGCGATGGGCGCGAGAAAGGCGGAGGAAACAGCAAGTTTGGGTGGCGGTTGAGCTAGCCATGTTGTTATCCTCCTCAAAGTGTTTTAGTGCAGAGCAGAGACGACAGAATCCCTTTGGCGCGCGATGCAAAGCAGCGTAAAAATGCAAATCGCAGACGCACAGATGCACCTGCATGGACTTGTCAAAGAGATCGGCGTCCGGCTTAAACAACAGCCAGGATTCTAACTCGGCAAAGTCGCTTTTTTCAGGTGAAGATCTCAAAGCTACTCAATCACATTTCGCCCCAGCACCTAAAAAGGCAATGTTCTAGGTGCGTTCCATCTCCACACAATCAAATATATGAGAATCAGCTGTCCATGATCCAAATGCTTTATGAATTCCTCAAGAGGGCAAGAAACGTCCAGAGGTTCTATCGAATCAATCCGAGGTGTTATCAGCAAAACAAACAAGAGGAGAGGGGCAGGAAAAAGTTGCAAAGTAATCCGATGTAAGGCTGTCTGTTTATGGGACGTCCCGCACAATTGCCTCCCCTGTTGTGTCTCCAGAGAATGGTGGGACCAGGCTTAAAACAACAAACAAGAGTGCTATCTCCCCCCGGGACTGAGAGAGAGAGAGAGAGAGAGAGAGTGTGTGTGAGTGGAGGGGTGGGGGAGAGCCAGCCCAGCGTTCAGGGCGGGACATTTATAGATAGATAGAGATGGGACAGGACAGTATCAAGCGGCATGAGAAACTTTTTGGAGAAGCAGTGACTTGGTTTCGACCCAAA